AGGCGCCGATGTCGATCCTCCCACAACACGACCCACTCATGATTCCTCACCAGCCAATATGTATCTGTCTTGCCGCGTCTATCTAAGCTATGTAACTCGTCCATATTGCGAGGTGCTTCCGGAATTGGTTGAAAACAACCAAACTGCCGGAGCAGGCGATCAGTGGAGTGCCACTCTACGGTCGCATAACAGATCAGATGGACCATCGCCATCCAAACATCTGATGGACCCCTCAACTCAGGTGGGATCACCGCCCTCACATCATCAGTAGAATATGGCACCCATTCAAACTAAAACAAATAATATATAATTTTTATCAAAATAATAATCTAATTATACAACTATAATCTAAAATCGATTTTTAAACATTAAAATTCATACCTGTGTGCCAGCCTTCTGATCGATTAGCACCCTAATTTTTTCTAAATCATCAGGTAGCTCCTGATGATTTTTCCTATCAGTAGACCACCTATTCAAGAAAAAAATTTGTTATACGCTGTATAAAATTATTAATATATAAAATCAGTTTTATAATTACCTCAGAAGTAGTGGAAATACGAATGGGTTCTTCACAACAGGACATAAAAAGGGCAATCGATACCATGACCAAGACTGCAGTAGCAGGAGACATTCGCCGATAGCATTACGTTTGTAGTCAGTGGCTCCACACATCTCCCTGTACAGTAAAGCCAAAACTGCCGAGCCCCAACTGAATGATATTGTGAGACGAAAGTCGCTAAGATGTCGCAACCACATGCAGTGAACTAGGTTGCGCGATTTGTCCGGCATCAGCAACCCTCCTATCGACTGCAGTATGCATGCCCGTGCATACATCTTAACCTCATCCTTAGAGGCGTCTGCGCTCAACTCCCGAAAATTGGCCTCCGATAAACTTTTTCGGGACACGTCCTAGACTATCCCGACACAAAGTAGTCCAAGAACCGGAAGCTATACCCGATATCACATCTCCATCCACCGGAAGCCCCAGGTGCATAGAAACATCCTCAAGCGTGATCGTGCACTCTCCGCATGGAAGATGGAATGTGTGGGTCTCCGGCCTCCACCGCTCTACTAAGGCAGAAATCAGGTCTGGCTCTATCTTACAGTGACCCTGATATCTACCTATGTAACCGAATCCAACCTCTACTAAATACGGCAAGAAACAGCTAGGTATCACTAACTTAAGATTCCTAATAAAAGGATCTAATACACGGTCATTCTCCTAAAAATAAATAATTACAAAAATTAATTCTTACTCTAATAATCATGCATTTAATAAATCAACTAATTATTACTAATAATTTAAATTAAATTAAAACGTTAAAATGTTACCGTATCAGCAAAGTGTCGAGATATTTAATTCTTAATCTAATAATCATGCATTAAATAAATCAACTAATTATTACTAATAATTTAAATTAAATTAAAACGTTAAAATGTTACCGTATCAGCAAAGTGTCGAGATATTTAATTCTTAATCTAATAATCATGCATTAAATAAATCAACTAAATATTACTAATAATTTAAATTAAATTAAAACGTTAAAATGTTACCATATCAGCAAAGTATAGAGATATATGATTTCCATCCGAGCGAAGTAGGTTGTCTTCCATTATATATCTGCAAAAGAATTATATTAGTAAAATATTAAATAAAGTAAATACATAATAGTAAAAATATTATAAAATATACCTTAAAAAGATAGAGTATTTGAGAGAAATTTAGAGAATTTGAGAGAATTTGGTGTGATAAAAGTGATTGAGGATGGGGTATTTATAGGAGGATGGGGACGTGTATTTAGGGGTATAGCGCGCCCCCTGCACCGCGCTATACCCCACGTGTCAGATACCCAGGTATAGCGCGGATCAGGGGGCGCGCTATATCCACGTGGCATCAGATCACCGTATATCGCGGGGCAGGGTGCGCGCTATACCCACGTGGCGCCAAATCAGCGTATAGCGCGGTTCAGGGGGCGCGCTTTACTGCTACGGGTGTTAGATCGGGAAATATAATCTAACCGGTGTTAGATCGATAAATATTCCGATCACCGGTGATTTATTGAGAAAATTGCCTAAGTATAAGACTTATTTTAAATTGATGCTTAAATTTTAAAATTTTGAATTTTCAATCTCAAATAAATTTATCTTTTATATATATTTTAAAATTTTAAGTTAAATTATATTTAAATTATTAATTAATTATTACATAAAAATTAAATTAAATTTATAAATATTTTAATTAATTTTATATAATTTAATAAAATCATGTTCAATAAATAAATTATTTATTGATTATAACTAAGATTTATAATATAAGGATTACAATTAATATAAAAAATAGATTTATTAATTTGATTATCATAACTAACCATTTGTTTTAACTTTCAAAAAGTAATCATATTAGTTATCATAATTTATTATAAATTCAAAATCTCACAATTTCATCAAAATATTACTACATCAACTATAACTTATAAGTAATTTATTATAAAATCAAAATCTCACAACTTCATATTTATAATTTATAAGTGAAGTAAATATCAAGTCAAGATTTGACTAATGCTCCTTCCATTTTACAATTTCAATGGTCACCACCAGATACCAGGTGGATATGCCTTAACACAAACGACGCATACTTGCAAGCTACAGGCCACGGTTTTACCGGAGGACTCTTGCGCAACTCTTCGAGTGATTGTTTGGCCGGCTTTCGACGTTCGTTAGGACATTCGTCCATGCTTGAGACTGAGCTTTGGGGTATCTTGGAGGGCCTCAAAATTGTGTGGCAACTTGGATTCGACCGAGTTATTGTTCAATCAGACAACAGTGATGCCATTCACTTACTCTTCCCCCTTCTCTTACAAGTCCCTTTACACTTGTTTAAAATATTGCAGCTCTTTGTAATAAAGCTTGGATCATTGATTTCCAAAAGATACATCCATAGGGATTCCTATGGTCTTCCTTTTTTCCCCTGTTAAAGAGTTAATGTAATGGCTTTTGCCTCTTTTCTATTCAAAAAATATATATATCAAATTAGATAAATATTATATCAACTCAATAACAAGTCGGATCATTTACAGGTTGAGTCAATTACATGTCATGTTCATAACAGGTCGGGTTGACAATAGATCAGATAATACCAATTATTTATCAGGTTAATCCTGGGTTCAGGTTCATATTAGTCGAATGCATGTCAGGAGGTTCAGTTATCATATTATCAGTTAAATTCAGGTTCAGGTCCTTCTCAGATCGGGTGCAAGTCAGGTTCAGATATATAATTTTCAAGTCCAACATGGGTTCAGATCAACATTACTTCAGACTCGAATCGATTTTGAATCACCATCACTCGGATTACAAACAATTTTAATTTTACATGTCGGATCGACTTTTTACATCCTTATAAAGGGGCAATAATAATTGTGCTTGTGGACCTTAAAAACCCAACAAACATGAAATTCTTCATTTGACAAAGGATCAAGTTTTGATTGGAGTCCCTCTACTTTTCTCAAATGACATTTAATCATACTAATATAATTGACATAACGTATTTTTTAATATATATTATATTTAATCAATCAAATTGATATTACTATTAACTATTTTTTTAAAATCTTAATACAAAAATAAGTTTCTAATTTTTCATTAAAAATAGGTACATAATGTTTTCAATGTTATACTTTTACATGTATGAACTATAACCATCGTTAAATTTGGTCGTTATCTGACACATGACATGCCTATAAAATTTAAAAAATATTTAGAAAAAAATATTATTTTTTAAAAAAACCCCAAAAAAATTCCACTATCAATCGACCAATGTTAGTCCGTGATCATCACAGTTGATATTATAAGAATCGTCTCGTCGTTGCGACTAAAACTCAATCTCCTACCCACCGTGAAATTGTGTCGATCGTCGTGGAAAACGCTGTGAAGGGTCATCAATTTTTTAGGTTTTTCTTTACAATTTTTCAACGATTCTAACAGCTCAAGGTATTCGTGTATGTTACACGATCGTCACCATTGAGTTCACCGTCCTGCATCGAAAAAAGTGGTGACCCTTCACTGTCGAAGGTGAAGGGATGGGAGGGAGAGAGGACGACGCGAGGGGAGATTGATTTTTTTAATTTTTTTAAATATTTTTCTTTTTAAAAATAATTTAAAAAAATAAAAAATATAACGATAAACACTTAAAATTGTATTGAAGAAAACGTTATACACCTATTTTTTACAAAATAATTTTATCAAAAAATTATTTAAATACCAAAAGTCATTTTAAGGTATAATTTAAACACTTATTTTTGTATTTAGCTTTTATTAAAATATTGATGGATTTTTTTTAAAACATCTAGAAACGAGCATTTTATCTTAGACGATGGATTTTGAGCCAATTTGACTCGATTGTTGTTAATTTTTATTTTAAGAATTTAAACTCAAGCCTGGTCAAATCTGTTTGAAAAGGCGAGATCAAATCAAATTCGAGTTTAAAATAAAAAAAATTATCTCAATGTAATATAATATTATAATTACCACTTATATGTTTAAAGATATAGATAATAATACTCTTTTTATTTTATTTTCCCTTAACCCTTTATTTTACCTAATAAAAATCAATTATATATATATATAAGTCAATCGAGTCAAGTGCAAATTTTAACTTAAAAATGGAGTTTTGAATCGGGTAGAACCCTTGCCAAAGATCCAACCCATGATCATACCTAAAAACATCGCTTCCTTCATAAGTAATGTCAACATGATGAATTAAAGGATATCTTTTCAAAGAAAATTCATGTCAATAGTGAAATAGTCAAGAATCTTAGTTTAATTATTTAAGTGATAATGATATTATAAAAAAATAAACGATTAAATCATATTAAGTTAAAGAAAATAATTAAATCTCAAATTTATATTTGGTAATATGACCAAAATCACAATTCCACCATTTATAAAGCCTTTAATCTATTTTCTACTAATCACAATTCCACCATTTATAAAGCCTTTAATCTATGTTCTCTTCACTCTTTGGAAACAAGGAGGCTCGTATACTTGTTCTCGGCCTCGACAATGCCGGCAAAACCACCATTCTCTATCGGCTCCAGATGGGTGAAGTTGTCTCCACGATACCGACAATTGGATTTAATGTGGAAACGGTGCAGTACAATAACATCAAATTCCAAGTTTGGGATTTAGGTGGACAGACAAGTATCAGGCCATATTGGAGATGCTACTTTCCAAATACTCAGGCCATAATCTATGTTGTTGATTCAAGTGACACAGATAAGCTGGTGATAGCTAAAGAAGAATTTCATGCTATCTTGGAGGGTTTATGGTCTTGCTGTATTTCTCTTCTTCTCTTCCGCTGTCACAGTCTACAGACGTCGTGCCACCTGCCACCTACGGTAACCGTTGACCGACGAAACTACAAGGTTTTTGTGGGGCAAAGCTTGAGATTTTGTTTGTTGAAGCACTTGTCTAGAACTTACAGAAGCTCTTGGGGCTGCGCAAAACACGTCCTCCAGTCTTGGTTTTTTTTTCTTAGAAGCTTACCACGAAGCCAAAACAGAGAGAGGTTTTCAAAGAAGAAAGGAGAATTGTTTGTTAAGGATGGCAGGGGAAGAACATAACCGAATATTTGTCGGAGGATTATCATGGGAAGTAACCGAGCGACAGCTTGAGCATGTGTTTAGTCAATTCGGAAAAATTATTGAATCTCAGATCATGGTGCAGAGAGATACAGGGCGATCTCATGGATTTGGATTTATTACATTTTCAGATCGTCGGTCCATTGATGAAGCTATCAGGGTGATGCATAGGCGAAAATTGAGAGAACGTACAATCTCGGTGAATAAGGCTCAACCCAAGATGAGTAAAGATCTTTATCATGGCTATAGAAGAAGTTACTCATCAAGAGGGTCGCTATGCAGGTGGAGACAATCATGTTGCACATAATGAATGCTTCAATTGTGGCCGCTTCGGGCACTAGGCACATTATTTTCCTCCAACTTGTGGTGGCCAAGGTGGGAGTGGCGCCATGTTCTCTTCACGTTTAAGATTCAAAGGCGCTGCCGTTGATGACCGTGGTGATCGCTTCAGAGATCGTGATCGGTACATACATGACTGTTATGATGGCAGACAACGCTTTGGTTATAGGGACCGTTTAGACAGAAGGAATGACAGATATGAGAGACGTGATCTTTTCATCCGCGACAGGTTTATAAGGAAATCTTGAATGAAATTTCCGTCGGGGAATAAGGAGACTTCTTTGGGCAGCAAAAAGGCAGTTAATAATTCTAGGCCTGAAGGCATTCCTCCTTCTCAACGAGGGAATTATGGGAATGGAAATCTATCTTTAACAGAGGCATCAACAGCTCAACTACCCGAAGATGTTGTCCACGCTGGAACCAAAAAGGGGTGTTCTGGTAACAAGTCTGGTGAAGAAGCAAGAATTGGGAGAATCGATTTTAATAATCGGTGGAAGAAAGGTCATACAAATGTTAGGAATGGATACAAAAGTGGATGCTTCATGTTATTCATTGAAAACTTACCAAAGAAAATCCATTGGAAAAGACTTGGATCGTTATTCTGTGATCACGGTCATGTAATTGATGCCTTCATTCCTAACAAAAGAAATTCTATAGGGGCTCGTTTTGGGTTCATTCGCTTCGCGATAATTAAAGAAGCAAGGAAGGCGATTTCAAATATGAATGATTTTCATATTTACGATAACAAAATTAGGGTCTCTTTGGCCAAATATAATCCTCGACAGTCTTATTGGAGGAAGTCCTCGACAGTTGTTCAACGTAAGTCTAGGATGGAAGTTGCTTCGAGGAATAATCACTGTGAAGTTCAAGGTGTTGTGGACGAAGATAAACTTCACGTGTTGAGTAACTGTTTGGTGGGTTGATGCAAGAACTTTATCAAAATCGGTGATCTTGCTAGCCATATTCAAGCCAAAGGACTCGCTGGTTTCACGTTAATGAGAGTTGTTGAAAATGTACTTCTAATGGTTTTTGAAGACTCTACTTCGTTGAGAGTTGTGAATAATGAAAATTTAGAGACTCTTGCACAATAGTTTTCCAGAGTTGAAGCTTGGTCAGAGAGTCTGGTGGTGGAGTGTCGTCGAGTGTGGTTAGTTTGCGAAGGGATTCCTTTTCGCGCTTGGAATTGGGATACATTCAAAAACATTGCAGCTAAGTGGGGCAAATTATTAGCAATCGACGACAGTTGCGAGTTTCCATCGTCTTTTGATCGGGCTAAAATTCAATTACTCACAAAGTCTCAGGTGAGAATTAATGAGTCGTTGGAGTTGAAGGTCGGTCCTAATTCCTTCAGAATCAAGGTGCATGAAATTGATCCTTCCTTCAAACCAAATTCTTGGGTACCTGAAGTTCACAGTGATTCATTAGAGCTGGTTCCTTCAATTGGATCGTAACTGTTCTAGAGCTCTATGCAAAGTCGTTTCGTTCAATTTCCATTGTTGACAGTGTTGGTTATCTGTTATGCTATGATCTTTTACGTTGGTTTTTTCAATTTGTTTGAGATTTATTTTAGAAATAGTATTATTGTCTTTGGGGCTTTGTGGTTGACGACGGTAGATTTTTAAGTGATATGATTTTTGTAATGGCGTATATGGGTATTCAGTGTTTTCACATGTAATGGGTGTTATTTAATAAAATATGATGTACTCTTTTCTTCCTTCCAATGTTCTTCAACATACTTCTTAGTATGTGGAAGAATACGAATGGAGTTTTTGACTAGACCTCCAACTTCTATAAAAAAAAAAAGGCTTTAATCAATTTTCTACTCGTAAACCTAAAGCAAAAATTAATGATGAATGAACAATGTGAATTATTGTGAAGCAGGTACTCCGAATTGTCAGTCCCGACTAGCTTCTTCAATCTTTGGCTAATATGATTATTCTTACGACATTCAAGAGGACAGTTCGAGTACGCTTAAACATTTAACATCCTTTGACTTAAAAGTTTGGCGACGAAAAGTATGAATAATTTAAGCATTATGTGAAAAAAATGGTTTCCAACTCTTTCGACTATTAGCCTATCGATTCTTAATTCAATAACTCTAAATTTTTGTTCTAGGCTAATACTATCGTATGTCTTGCACTTATTCTGAACGTCCTTTCAAAAATACCAACACATTCAACATCATGCAGCACTGGTTAAAAAGACAATAGAATGCAGCATGAAAAGAACAGATTAACCTTTATCTTGCATCCATTGTGCTCCACGCTCTATATATATCTGTACTGAATATGATCCTCCAAAGACCCTACAAATAACAAAAACTAAAACATACATTAAGCTGACTAAAATATAAACGTTAAGCTTATTTCCACTAGGTTAAGCTGCAGCTACAAGTTACAATTAGCATAATCAATCTGTAAACATGGCATACAGATGGGGAAAATAATTTACTAGAGGAAGATAACTGTGGCTTCCTTCCGGTGACCAGTGTCAACCCTCTTCCTCATTTTCTGGATTGGAGTCGAGGTCTTCCCCCTTCCATTTCATAGTCTCATTAAGCGCACTGCCAGAGGTGTGCTTACATCGACACTACGACTGGTAATTCCTGACAAAGGCTCTACAACAGGTAATGTTGCTCTCACTGTAACGGCACTAATACTTGACTGGCAATCTAAATTTCGGCACTAATAATCCAGACTGTGTCCCAGATCCTTGCCCTGTTATCCCTACCTGTTGCATATAGTAAGATGAAGACCTCTATCATGATACCATAGCATCCCTTTGATCCATGCATTTACCTTGAATAACCTATACTTGAATTTGTCTTCAAATCGACTTACAAGTCGATGTTAACTAAAAGGATAACTCTATTTGTTCTAGAGCTCAATGTAGTATCAAACATACCATACAGATTGCAAATGCTAAGATAACAGAAAAGCATCGGTGATCACTAGACAGTTAAAAAGCATACAGATCTTGGAAGCAACATGAAGAGGTACAGAAACTACTATCTATATCAAAGGTAGTAATTGTTTCCTAGTTCGTATTCCTACGAGCATCTGATATAAGGTACTAGGAAATGCGACTGCGACTCTGACATTTAAATCCCCATGAAAATCAAATATGACTATCAACATGATTTTAAAATATCAAACCTGCATAAATCACATGAAAATCTCATTGTATGACAAGCTTCTACAATGCATACAATTCAACATATGCCGATAGAAGTCTTTCGAGCATTATCTGGCAAAGCTTGATGAAGCAAGCATTTAGAAACCACGCTGTCAATCCTAATTTTCATGTTCAATTGCCGATGATCACATTCAATAAGCCAGAAATCATTCAACAATTAACTAACAAAAGGGCCAAAGATTAAACATAAAACGTACAACAAATGTTAAACTTTTAAGTAAACACTAACAATTTATTCTTGTAGCAGAAGAAATTAGCATATAATACACAACAATAGAGTTATTCTGAGCACACTCTTTGATCATATTAATCCAAAACATAAAAACACAAACCCATTTTCAGATCACAAATTATATACACGAATACTTATAAATGTAAGACATGACCATCATAACCTTCATCACCATCATCATTGCTTAAAAAAACCCATCAATAATCAGGGCGGTGATAATCACTATAATCATCCCTTTCCTTTGACGTCACTTCATGCTCGACCCTTTCACCAATCTCTTTTTCTTCGTATTTCAATCCTTCTCCCAACGCCATTCCACCTAAAGCCCCGGCCACAGCTCCAACAGCTAATCCAGTTCCCAGCCCAACTTTGGGGGCCCCTCGAGGCTTTTGATCGTACGGGGAGTAATCCACCGGCGCTGACGGGGTGCCATAGCTGGAAGCTCGTTCAAAGAAGTGGCGTGGAGGCATGGGCTGGGGCGGGGAGGAGTAGTAATGGCTGGAGTAATAAGGAGGGTAACCCTCGGGGACGGACGAGTAAGGCGTTGTTGGCGGAGGAGGAGAGGTTGACGGCTGAGGCGGCGGGGGAAGAGAGACGTAGGTTGGAGCAGAGTATCTAGGTGGAGGAGGGGCATTTGTGTAATAATAGCTAGGAGGAGGAGCAAAATGGTAATCATGAGGTGGAGGAAGGGGACGTTCTCGGATCCCGAGTTTCACTCGGATCTTACCTTGGGGACGACCCGATTGTCGGAGGAGAGAAAAGGTTCGGATCTTGGAACCGTCAATCGGGTCCTTTAAGTCCTTGAGTTCGACCCGGAGGGTGGCCACCAAAGGCTTCGGGGTTTCCGAGGGTTTGGAGTGGAAGATCTCGAGGGTCAAAACGGCGTCGTGGAAAGGAACAACGAGGGGAAGGGTGAAACGCTCGTTCCAAACTGGTCGGGTTGAGCCGGAATCGTCTGATCGGGTCGATAGACGTCGGTCTGGATCGAGCCAGAATACTGCGTAGGGCTTTAGATCGCCATTTTGCCAGTTGACGTTTTTCAGATGCTTGGCTGACACGATCGTGAGTTCGAGGTCGAGTGGTCTCGGTGGAGGCGGTCGGGGGTGAGTCGCCATGACGGTAGCGGTGGCGATGGCTTTTGGTAGGTGATTATGCTAACGTGCACCGGATCGAGTGGTGCGTAGGATAGTCTGGAAGTTTTTTTGAAGATATTTTTGACAAATTGGGAGGGCTGAAGATTGCTTAGGATTTAGGAACGGGGGAAAAAAGAAGAGCAATGCAATGACGCTTTTAGCCTTAGTGGTTGGCCGGTTTTTATGCGTGTATCCGTCTGCGAATAGTATATTATAGGGTAAAATATTGAAATGGTCACTTTTATTTGATAAGCGGTCACTTTTGATCATTAAATTATAAAAATATTATCTTAGTTATTTATGTTATTTAAAACTTTTTTATTATTTATACTATTAATTTATAATATTTTGTTAATTGAAATGTTAATTTTTTTTAAAATTTTATGATATTTTATTAATTTTGATTAAACGTAAATCTACTAGATATTTCATCAAAAATATCCTAAACTATACAAATCTAGAATATAAATATAATATTTGATTTTCTTGTAAATAAAATTATAATAATAAAATGGCTGTTCTTTTTTCCCATATGTATGGGGTAAGGGGAGGTAAGATAGTAGGCTACCCCCAACACCAGGTTGAGAGCAGCTTCCGTAAGAGACTTCCGAATTATGAAATGCCTTCCGTGGGACTCGATCCCACGACCTCAAGATTAAGAACCTTGTGCTCTACCAACTGAGCTGTATGGTCATTTCAAAAATATTAAAAATTTAAATCTACATCATAGTTAAATCATGAATTTTATTAAATAACGTAATGTATTTTTTATTAAGTTAAGGTGATTACAAAGTAGTATATGTTCTATATACTCTGAATCATTTGACTATGAACGCTCAATCACCTTGCTGCAGCTACTGGTGCTCGAATTCTTGACCTCTAGGAACAACAACGGTTCATTTAACCACTGAGGTAAGTTGATTCATGTCATAATGTACTTATTTTTAAAAAAAGTTTAATGTTAAAATAAGTGTTCGAACTATACTTAAAGTTAACTTTAATTATCTAAAACGTTTTTTGTTAAAAATATGTGTTTAATGTTTTTCTGTTATAGTTTTAAGTGTCTAATGTGTTGGACATTTTTTGGGTATCTAAGTTATAATGGCTATTAAAAAAATATTGTTATTTGAAAGTGTAAGTCAAAATTTTATTTTAAAAAATACTTAAAACTAAACTTTATTTAAAAAAAAATCCAATTTTGAAATTATAAAAAAATCTCAAACCCAAAAAAAATCTAAGTTCAATCCTTTATCACCGTCATCCACCACCAATACCGCCAATCAATTGAAACTCCAATGGCGTGTGACTGCCTAAACCCTCATCGGTCGAACCTCTATCCTTCACACAGTGATTGTAGCGAAAAATTGGTGATCACATCATGGGAAATTCCTTTCGGACGATTGCGAAATCATGTATTTATACAACAATTGGGTATTCAATCGGTCATGAAAATAAGATATTTCAGTTGTTGGGTGATTTTTCAGTTAAATAGCGTTGAGTGTTCGGTCGGTTGACAATGTTGATAGTGACCGACCATGTTAAGGGATTAAAATTTAGATTTTAAAAGATTTTTTTTGTTTTTTTTATAATTTTAGAAATTTTTAGTTTTTTAAAATAAGTTATAATTTTAAGTTTTTTAATTTACATAAAAATTAATTTTTTATTAATGTGACATGTGTCACTTAACAATTAAATTTAACGACATTACAATCCATACATCTAAAAGTATAATATTATAAATGTTAAAAACCTTTTTTTAACACAAATTTTTTAAACACCTAAAGTTAACTTTGAATATAATTTAATCACTTTTTTTATATTAACCCTATAAAAATATCACAAAATAAGAATGTATTAAAAATATTTTTACAATCATATTTAAAAAGTTGAGATACGTTAATTATAATATATATAAGAATGTATTAAAAATATTTTTACAATCATATTTAAAAAGTTGAGGTACGTTAATTATATATATAGATAGATAGAATAAAAATATATTTATTAAAATATACAAGACTAATTTTTAAATTTTAATCACATTTATATTTTTTTACTATTTTAATCTAATTAAATTAATAAAATTTTTATGTTAAAAAGTTATATTTTTTCATCATTCAAGCAACTTCTACAATAAAATTTTTTTATTACTTTTTAAAATTTTAAATTTGAACACATCGTATATCATAAATATAAAATTTTATTATTAAATAATTAAATTTTTTTAAACATATACTACTCCTTTTATTCATCTCAAATTTATATAATAGAAGGGTTAATTACATGAAAAATCACTTATGTTTATGTTTTGTCCACTTTTAATCACTGATTTAAAAAAACATAAGATATGATATGTGACGTGATACTTGATATAATTATATATTTTGTCTCTTTTATTTACATATTCTCTCAATTTAGTCATATTTTTAAATAAATATTTAACATAAAATATATAGTTTTAAATGAAAATAAAAATAAAATACTTTTAAATAAAATATTCTCTCAATTTTCTTTCTTTTGTTTTCTTTCGACCAAAGGGTGACACGTGTCACTCTTTGATTGGTGAAAAATATATTAAATTAAAATAAAGTTAATATTCCAATAAAATGGTGACACGTGATATTAGGGGTGAGCAAAATTTTATTCGACTTGAAAGAACCGATTTTTTCTACTCGACTCTTGAAAACTTGACTCGAACTAACTTCGAGTTATAATTTCATAAACTCGACTCGACTAAAAAAATTCAAGTTCAAATCGAGTTGTAAAATACATCTCGAATAACTAACAAAATTTAGTAATTAGTAGATTGATTTTTAAATTTGAGTTGAATCCCTTGACTCTATATCATAAATGTATATCGCATATGAAAATATATGAATGAATACACATGTATTGTATATGGTTATAAAAGACCATTTAAATTGGAATCAAATAATATCATAATATTATAAATATTTATAATTAAATTTAAACAGAAACTCGAAAATTTGATTTGACTCTACTCTAAAAAATTTCAAGTCAATTTCGAGTTGTAAAATAGGACTCGTCAACTTGAATAACTCACATTTTTTCTCGAATTGGCTCAATCGAACGCTCACCCTTATGTGGCATGACATGTGACATCATTCGATTGGAGGATTAAATTTATTTTAATTTATTAAAAGTAAGACTAAATTAAGAGAAAATATAAATAATAGAGATCAAATGTGTGATTATATCAAAATATTTAACTTATATTAACAGTTAACTCAAAGTGATTAATTTAATAAAAACGAAAGTGATCATACCTTATATTTTTTTGAAATTAATAACTAAAAGTAGACAAAAACATAAACGTAAGTAATTTTAAATGTAATTAAATACATCTTTCTTCTTTATTTTTCTGAAAAATAAACTAAAGTAAAAATAAATATGCCTTTCAATTTGTTTTCTTGAAGAAACGAAAACAAGCAAAAAATGTCTTATACGCTTCTTCGCTAGTCGTTACGTTATACAAAGTCAGAGATAGCCTTCGCCGCCGCTGCTTCTCCTTTTCCGTCTCTCTCTCTCCCCTTTAATTTTCTTCTCCAAAATCATTTGATCTCTTTTAATTCTCGAGAAAAATTTAATTTTCTCGGGGGGCAAAACTATGTCTGACCCTTTGATCAATGGACTGGCGGGAGCCGGTGGAGGGATCATAGCTCAACTCATAACATATCCTCTTCAAACTGTACGATTCACTTCTTCCTTCCCCTTTTCAAATTTAAAAATAAAAAATCTATTTAAATTTTGTTCTAATTTCTGCTTTTATCTGCAGGTAAATACTCGTCAACAAACAGAGCGTGATCTCAAGAAAGAGAAACGGAAAATCGGAACCATTGAACAAATGTGCCAGGTTTTTTTTTTCAATGGTTTTAGTTTTAGATGACGGCTTTTCGTTTTAATTAACGGAAACTTCTGAACATTTAACGGAATATGCTAATTGAGCTGTTTTAGCTTTTAAATTAGGCACTGCTTGCATGTTGATTTTTCAAACCTTCCTTTTTTTCCCTTGTCATATTAGCAATTATTTTATAACTCATATTAGCAATAGGATTAACAATTGAAGAGTGATAGTAATTTAGTGTTCATTCTTGAATTTGTTCGCTCGCTTTTGTTTAATAGGTTGTAAAACATGAAGGATGGGAACGGTTATACGGAGGCTTAACGCCTTCTTTAGTCGGTACAGCTGCATCTCAGGTGATAACCTTTTGGATTTCTAGCATGATTGTTCTTGTTCTTGTATTACTTTTAGTAATGATAATGTTGCCAAGTGAAAGAAATTAAATTAAATCTTCAATTAATAATGATAGGAAGTTTTTTTTTTGTTTGCTTATTGTTTCATACTATATACTTATTTGTTTGGTTGCCGAGAAAGTGATTGGAAAAATTAGAAGTGGATTTATGAACTTAAGAACCATTGCCCAATTTATATATTATGCTTTAGTTTTACGTTGAAGCTGAGAAAGTTGGTAGTTATCCCTAGGTGTTCGTGATCCTTACCTTGAAAATTGTTCTTTATTAATGTATACTATTTGGCAATTTGCTACTGTAAACTGGCTTAGAGTGCTTATTGATAAATGGATTGCAATTTTCAATGTAAATGATTAGTGGTCCCATGTGATGGCAGATTTGTCCCCCAGCGCATTTATTTATTTATTATTGGCTTAAGGGTCACCTTTGTCCCTGTAGTAGATCTAATTTATCACTTTCGCTTTTATCGTGTTTTCGCATCAATTTAGCCTCTAAAGTTGCTCAATTGCATAATTCTATATTCTATCTATGACTTAAAACACTAAATTATAAACCTAAGTTATGATTTATGGTTAAGAGGTTATGAGGTTGTGATTTAGGGTTCAAACTTTATAATTTAAGGTTTTAAGTTAGGGTAGGGTATAGAATGATACAATTGAGCAACTTCGAAGGCTAAATTGATGCGAAAACACAATAAGGGCGAAAGTGATAAGTTGAGTCTACTACGGGGTGCAAAAGTTACCCTTTTGCCTTTATTATTTCTAGTTCTTTTCTTCGGTTTTTAGTTTTGTTAATATTTGTGAAAACTAATATCCGAGTATCATATTCCCCGTAAAACCCAAACTATAGCGGAAGAATATCTGTG